CCACGGACCAATCCTGCGGCTGATTGGCCGAAGGGACACGCCCGCACACCACCCCCAGAGGAGGGGAGGGGAGCCTTGAGCATCCAGCTCCCTGGGGGGTCTGCCTAGGCCAGGCGAGGGTCTGGTCCCCACCTTCTCTCCCGCCTACCCGGGCGCAGCACAGCCCTACCCCCACCCCACCCCCACCCCCGGAGCGTAGGAAACGCAGGTCGGACCCCTCTTCAGATGAAAGTCCGCCAGGGATCCCCTGTCCCCCTCTCTGGCCTGTGCGGACCAGGCTCTTCCCTGCCCCTCCATGTGTGGGGGGCTCTCCACTGCGGTTTCCTGCCCCCCAGCGTGCTGACCACCAGCCCTGGCACATCCGAGGACTGGAGGCCACATGGACTAGTCCTGTCCCCTCCCCAGAATTACTGGGCAGTTAATCCCCACACCATTGTGCAGAGGTCGTGGACACCGCCCCACGGCCTTGTCCCCGCGCCTGTTGTCAGCCCTGACCCCAGGCAGGCCCCCTTTGCCCTCTGCCCTGACCGACCTGGTGGCAGTGGGCAGAATATTTCAGCAGCTGCCTGCTGGGCTCAGTAGGTGCAGAAGCCCCGGGCAGTCTGCCGAGGGCAGCTCTTTGGCAAGGTGGCCAACACCTGCCCAGGTGGACCTCAATCTCCAGGGCTGCTGCCCTCCGTGCCCCTCAGCAGGTAGGAGTGTCCCCACCTCCCCAAAATCCTACCTCTTGGCCCCTCGGAGAGATGGCAATGGATGCCAGGAGGAGCCAGACCCAGATGCCCTTGAATCTGGTGAGGGTCATCCCAGAGCCACGAGGGTGGTTCCTTGGGGGCACACAGGGCAATGGGTTCAGCAGAGCAGACGTTGGGTGGTGCTGTGCCCCTGGAAGGAGGCATCTGGGCCAAGAGGCAGCTGTGCCTGTCACTGGCCCTGTCACTGCCTATCCTGACACCCATGGTGCAGACTTGCCAGGAGGGGTCTCTAGGGTACTTGCTCCTGTGCCAGCAGGCTGAGACTGCTGTAGGCCCCTGAGAGTCAGGGACTGAGGTCCCTGAGCCCGTCCCAGCGCTCTGGAGGGCAGTGGGGGCCCTGCCACGTGTCCAGCTGCAGCCTGTCCCCTGTGTTCGTGGGACCTCGGTGGCTGTACACACAGTGGGCAACCCTGGGCCAGTTGCCCACATATTCCTGAGGAAAAAGATCCCCAGTGCCAGTCCCAGGCCTACCATGAGGATCAGAAGAACCAGTTAGACATGCCCCCGAGTCGGAGAGCACTGGGCAGTCTGTCTTCCTGCAGAGCCCAGGCCAGGGCGCCAGAAACACTGCCTGGAAAGACAATCAGCAAGAGACCCCCCCCGCTCCTCCATGTTTGGGTATAGACCTGAGCCCTAGTGATGTGTCCTGTGGCCTCCTCGCAAGCAGGGGGTGGGTGGTAGTTGTGGGGAAAAGGGGGACAGGCTCTGTGTGAGCTTTGTTCTCCCAAGGCTGGGTCTGGAGGGGCAGGCAGCTTCCTGGAGCTTCTCAGGCAGCACCATGACTTTCCCAGGCAAGTTTTTTAAGCCAGTGTGACTGACAGCAGCATGACACCCATAGGAGACTTTTGTAGTGGGGTCTGGGCCCTGAAATCGGGCAGGAAGCAGCCCAGTGGGGTGGGGAGGTGGGTCCCTGGCTGGCGCCGTGGGCTGGGGAAAGTTTCCTCATTTATAAGAACAGGGACCCCTACGGTACCTGGGTCCTGGGGTGATTTTGCAGGATAAGGGAGAACTGCAGAAGCTCTGAGCAGGGCCTGGTCTGGGATGTTCCCAAGGGGTCTGTGAGGCAGACTCCCACCCCATGACTTGAGCCCCACCCATGTCCCCCAGACACTCAGCCTTGAGGGTGGAGGGGGCTGCGCAGGTCAGAGCCCCTCCTGTCAGGGTTGGGTGCTGACAACATGTGGCATCTGTGGGCCCTGATGCGTCTGAGGGGTGTGCACCTCCTACAGTGAGAGGCAAGGTCAGCTGGAGGCCAGTGTCAGCTTGCGGCCAGCCAGAGTATTAGACCACTGCCAAAGACCCTCCCAGCATCCCTCCCCAGCCTGTACCCCCAGGAACAGGGAATGAACACAGCAGGGTGGGCAGGGGAATGAATGGGTCCCCACGGTCCTGCGGTGTGGACAGTGCTGGACCCTGCAGTGCCCAGCTTGGGCAGGGCATGCTGCGAGGGCAGGTGACCCCGTGTTCCCTGCATGCCCCACATTGCCAGACATGGGCCTCCACACCACACACCCTGCCCAAGCAGTGGCCGCCCCAAGACCTACAGTTACAGAAATGCCATCAGAAATCCAGATTTGCCTGGGAAAGTGCCTGTATTTAAACGTTGGCAGCAAATTTAAGTTTTTAAGAATATTGCACTGGACAAATGAAATCCACATTGATGCAACTTTATTTACAGAATGGAATCAGGTTCTAGTGAACAAACATCACCTCACGGGTTCACTCCCCCTCAGACAAGGGGCTTCCTTACCTTGCACTGTCCCCTCCTTCCCCTGCTGTGTTCTGTCCTCTCCCTGCTGTGCAGTATCCCCCTCTACTGTGTGCTGTCCCCTCCCTGCTGTGCAGTGTCCCCTCCCCTCCCTGCTGTGCAGTGTCCACTCCCTACTATGAGCTGTCCACTCTCTGCTGTGGGCTGTCCCCTTCCTGCTGTGTGGTGTCCCTTCCCCTCTCTGCTGTGCAGTGTCCCCCCTACTGTGCACTGTCCCCTCCCCTCCCTGCTGTGCACTGTCCCCTCTACTGTGCACTGTCCCCTCCCCTCCCTGCTGTGCACTGTCCCCTCCTTGCTGTGTGGTGTCTGGGAAGGGACGGCAGGGACAGGAAGGTCTGGGTGACATGGGGTCTTCTAGAGTCCCAGCCGGCCAAGCACCATGCTGTTGCAGAACAGGATCTTGGACAGAAGTTGCTGGGTGGAATGAAACATTAGTAAGTCCAGGTTGCTTTTTGACCAGGTGTGTGACTTCCTGTGATCTCCGGGGTTCCACAGAAGGGTGTTTCTATAGGACCTAGAAGCCGGCCGGCCAAGCTGGGGTTTCACCCGATGTCAGTGGCAGGGAGCCAGGTGGGCCTGGACACAGAGGGTGAAAAGCCCCTCCTGTACTGGGCTCCAGCCATGCCGAGTGTGTGTGTGGGGGGTGTCACAGCAAATGGGCCGGGACGCGGCCCAGCAGGGCCTGAGGCTGGACCTGCGCAGGGTCTGCCTCTGTTTCGCGGAGTCTGCGATGTCTTACAGTCGGTCCCTGGGACAATTCTGTGTCGGGAAGCCGCCCAACAGCCTCTTGAGGGCCTCAGACAGCAGCTCTTGCATGTGCGGCCTCGGGCGCTGGCCAGGAAGCGAGCTGGCTGACACACCTGCACTTGAGGTTCTTAGAGCCTTCGCTCCATCTGGAAGATGAGCAGCTGCTGGTGGCTGCTCCCCGTGCTCTGTGACGCTGTGACACTGATGCTGTGACGCTGTGGTGCTGTGATGGGATGGGAGGCAGCTTATGTGGTGCACTCAGCTCCAGGCACGGCGTGTTGGCAGAATTCTGCAAATGTTAATGTTTCTACTCCTTCCTGGCACTTTATGTTTGCGAGACTGCAGCCCCAGGCCTCTGCGAACGCGCCTGGATCGCTTCCCAAACGGTGAGAGCGGTGAGGGCGGTGAGGGCGGCTAGCGCTTTGCCCTGGAGGGACGGCCTCAGGCAGGGACAGCCTGGAGCCGCAAATGGCCCTGCAAACACTGGTGTGTGGTTCTGTGTCTAGTCACAAAATTTATTCAGCCCCATCCCTTTGTGACATTCCCTGGGCTCAAACTCTTAAGTATGGAGACTCAAAGGGTCCTAAGGGAATGTCACTCGAAAGGAGACATGGTCCCTAAGCAAAGGTCTGTGTCCATCAGAAATGCTGTCGGGTGCAGGGAATGAAAGCCCTGCCTTAACTGCGGCTTTCGGTGATCAGTGTTCGCTCCCCCATCACTGCCTGGAGGTGGGTGGGTGCAGAGCCAGCCAAGATCCGCGACCCCCTCAGGCGGGGCCGCCCTGCCTCTCTTCCCACCGTGGGTGGTCTGCCAACAGCTCTTCCCTCAGCCTCGCCTCGGCCTTACTACAGGGCAGCTGCTCTGGTGCCGGTCATCACACCCTTATAAACCTGCATTCACAGAATGGAGGGGCACTGACCTTCCAGGAAGGGACGGTCCTGCTAAAGCCAGGCTTCTCTCCCTGTCATTGGCTGGAACTGGGCCACCTGCTTGACGCTCAACCAGATCCCCAGCAAAAGGGCGCAGGATAGCTGTGCTTGGCTTAGCCCCGTCACAGGCTGTCCCTGGGGCCTGGGGAGGCACTGCCTTCCTCGAATGTGCTACACCTGTGCCTCCGTGCACACTGCTCCCCTCAGTCCCTGGGCATGGATTCGTAGAGGCAGGACGACCAGAGCTTTCTGGCGGTAATGCCAGCTGCCCGCTGGCCGTCAGACAGGCTCCCAACAGGCTCTTGCAGCCATGTCCCACTCACTGTCCTGGGCGGCACTTTCCTCCCCCCACGGCAGGCATCTGCAGTACCGAGGGGGGCTGCCCTGTCTGCACCCCACCCTTCGGCATCCCTCAGGCCACACGTGTTGAGGGACTGCTCTCGGAACTCTGCTGTTTTCATCTGGGACCCAGGGCCGGAGGACGAGGGAGGCCCTTGGTGCGTGTGGGACCCCTGCACCCCCAGCTGCCCTCACCCACCCAGCTGCCCTCACTCCCCCCAGCTGCTCTCTCCCCCCAGCTACCCCTCCCCCCACAGCTGCTCTCTCCCCCCAGCTGCCCTCACCCCTCCAGCTGTCCTCACCCCCCCAGCTGCTCTCACCCCCCCAACTGCCTCTCCCCACTAGCTGCTCTCTCCCCCCAGCTGCCCTCACCCCTCCAGCTGCCCTCACCCCCTCCAGCTGCCCTCACGCCCCCAGCTGCCCTCACCCTCCCAGCTGCTCTCACCCCCACCCCCGCAGGCAGAGCAGATCCTGGCCGACTTCCAGCTACAGGAGGCCGACTTGAAGAAGGTGATGTGGCGGATGCAGAAGGAGATGGCGCGAGGCCTGCGGCTGGAGACCCACGAGGAGGCCAGCGTGAAGATGCTGCCCACCTATGTGCGCTCCACCCCGGAAGGCTCTGGTACCGAGGCCCGGGACAGGCAGGGGCGGGACCCACTGGGGAGCTGGTAGCTCCTCACCTGGAGGCAGCTGTCCCCGGTCCCAGGGAGCAGAGGCAGCCAGAGTCCGTGCTGACAGCTCGGACTGTCCCCAGAGGCTCAGGACGGCTCCACTGGCCCAACCCTGCATCTTAAGGATAACTGCCCCCTGCCCCCACCTCAGGAAAACTGTTTTTGTCATCTCGAGAAACCGGTTCTCTGTGGTCAGTGGGGGAAACCCCAAGCCCAATCCTGAGTCTGGGCCCTTCACTAGGCCTTCACTTGGGCCCTGGGCTTGGCGTGACTTTGTCTGAGGCAGGGGACTCCCACTGACTTCCCTAGCTCACCTTTGACTCTAGGGATCCCCAGATGCCTGGCGCCAGCAGCCCCTTGTCCAGCTCCTCTGAGCCCCACCCTGCCCTCCTCTCCTTCCCTCCCTGGTCTTGGGGTCCTGCTGGCTGGCACCCAGAGGCTGATGTGCTTCTCCCTGTGGCTGCAGAAGTTGGGGACTTCCTCTCCCTGGACCTGGGCGGCACCAACTTCAGGGTGATGCTGGTGAAAGTGGGGGAGGGCGAAGAGGGGCAGTGGAGCGTGAAGACCAAGCACCAAATGTATTCCATCCCCGAGGACGCCATGACGGGTACTGCTGAGATGGTGAGCAGTGAGGGGCAGGGGCTGGGGGGCTGGGGGTTGGGGGGCCAGGGTGGGGGCTGGGCATCAGGGGCCAGGGGCCCGTGGGGCTGGGCCAAGGCGCTGGGGCTGGGAGGCCAGAGGACTGGGGATGGGGACCAGGGGACTGGGGGTCAGGGGCCTGGGGAGCTGGGGGCCAGGGGCTGGGATCAAGTCTGCCTGGGATCTCAGCACTCCCTCGTCCTGGCAGGACGGCCTACCTGTCCACCAGGGGCAGGGTCACCTATTGGCAGGAGAGCTACTTGGCCTCAGAGGGCCCAGGGAGGGGGCTGAGTGGCCACCAGGCATGGCCCCAGCAGGTCACATTCCTGCCCAGTTTTCCAGAAAGGCCAGACATGTGACAGCAGCTGCGGGAACACGCCCCTCCAATGGGCACACAGCCCATTCTGCCGTCTCCCTATGTGTCACCCCATCACCTTCCACCAGCATGGACATCAAGTGGGGTGATTGCAGTCATCACGTCTGCCCATGGTGGGGAGACTCAGGAGAGGGTGCAGAAGTACAATGAGGCCTTGGGGGAGGTGGGCAGAGGCAGAGGGTTTCAAGGCAGGAGTCCCGTGGCAGCCTGGGCCTCACCACACCCCTGCATGCTGTGGGACTGGACGTGAAACAAGGCAGCAGGGATGGTGCGGATGCCTCCTGCAGCCCCAGCTGCCAGCAGGGGGCAATACCCAGTGCTGCAGACGGGCCCACACGGGCAGGCTGGAGGCCAGCGGGTGGTGGAGACAGAAATCAGCATTACGGCCAGGGCTGTGCCTCTGTCCAGAGTCTGCGGCTGGATGTCACTGGGTCCGCCGGGAGGGACAGGCTGACAGTGCACAGCCTTGGGCAGGAGTCCCGCAGCAGGGGTCCCGCAGCCAGCTCTCCCATGGCTGACGGCCAGCTTGCTGTGTGTCCTCCAGCTCTTTGACTACATCTCTGAGTGCATCTCCGACTTCCTGGACAAGCACCAGATGAAGCACAAGAAGCTGCCCTTGGGCTTCACCTTCTCCTTCCCCGTGAGGCACGAGGACATCGACAAGGTGGGGCAGGTGCAGGGCCAGGGGCGGAGGGCCCCCATGAACCCCGCCGTGCCTTCACGTGCAGCCCCCCTTTGGGGAAGAGCCTTGGTCCAACCTGTGGCTCCATCACTTACCTTTCGGGAGACTTTGGGAACCGGTTACACGGCTGATGCTGTCTGCCTTAGTTCCCCAGCGCCCTACAGGCCGGCAGCACCGTCACCCATCAGAGATCAGGAGACAGGCTCAGGAGGCGGTGCTGGGGCTCAAACACAGACTACCAGACACCAGCACAGCTGTGTAGCACCACGATGGGCTGAGGCTTCCCCTACGTGCACAAACGTGAAGTATACACACACGTGCATTATAGACGCTATGTACACATGCACGTGTCAACCATACACACACATATACACGCAGGTCAGTTACACATACACACCAACACACGTTGGTTATACACGTGCATACACACATGTGTACATCATACATACGTACACCCATCAACTGTGTGCCCTGAACAGGTGCACACACACCAACTACATGTGTACACATGTAAGTTGCACACATAAAGTGTAAACATGTTGCACACACATATGGCCTCTCAGAGACAAGCCAGCTCGGTACTTCCGGCAGGAACGGCATCCCATGCTGGTCTCCCAAGCCCCCTCCCCACAGCACACCAAGGGCCAGATGGTACCTTCTCATGCCTGAGGGGGAGTCCTGGGGGACATGAACCCCAGCTCCATATGGGGCTGCTCTCCTCAGGACCTCATCCCTACTCTGGGAGGATGCCTCTGGGCTTGACAGTATAAACACTGTCACAGTGGCTGGAACCCAGCCTTGCAGAAATAGGAAATACTCATAGAGAATGCTTCCCAAACTTATGGGTCCGCTTGGAGCCTGTTTCCTGCACTGTGCAGCGGGGAGACCCTCACCCTGCCCCCAGTGTCCATCAGGAGCCACAAGACCTCACCTCTTCCCTCAGGGCATCCTCCTCAATTGGACCAAGGGCTTCAAGGCCTCAGGAGCAGAAGGGAACAACATCGTGGGGCTCCTACGTGATGCCATCAAACGGAGAGGGGTGAGGTGGCTCCCCGTGACTGACCTGGGACCCCCCTCCCCTCAGGCCAGGATGCCAGGGAGGGCCTTCTGGGCATCCTTCACCTGGCTGGACACCAGCCCCATCACTGCTGCCTCTGTGCCTCCTGGCAGGACTTTGAAATGGATGTGGTGGCGATGGTGAATGACACTGTGGCCACGATGATCTCCTGCTACTATGAAGACCGCCGGTGTGAGGTTGGCATGATTGTGGGTAAGGATCCATGCCCTGCCCTGCCCTGTCTGGGGGCCTTGGCCTCCACGAGAGACAGAGCAAGGCTGTGCACCCCTGCTGGCCTTGGTCTCTAGGCCTGAGGACTGAGCAGTCAGTGATGGTCAGAGCAGGGCCCCTGTGCCAGGCAGAAACCCCAGAGGTGACAGGGTCTGGGGTGGTCTCGGGGAGATGCAGGGGTGTCCTGGGTGCAGCCAGTGCTCACTGCTGATGCACAGCACTGCACGGCACAGCAGCTATACATCTGTTGGGCTCATCAGGGTTTAATCACACCACCTTGTCTGGCAAATCGACCAAACTGGACACATTTGTCCAAGTGGACGAGGGTTAGCACAAGTGATGTTATCCCTTCCTGGACGGTCTTCCTGTGGCCCAGAGCAGCCGGCCTGTCCCACCCCGAAGTGAAGGCCGGTGCTGGGAGTGGAGGCAGCTCTGGCCCAGTGGGCCTTCCACACCGGCCTCAGGACTTTCCAGAAGTTCCCGAGGCCTCAGGAGTGTTTGCTGAGGATCAATCCCATTTGATTACTTATCTACTGGGCACACAGGCTACTCGAGTGTCCTGCAGCCTCCAGGCTCTGGGTCCCCAGAAAGTCAGTGGCAAAGTTGTTTGCTTCACTGGGCCCTTCAGAGCCAGACCTGCAGCTTGTCTGTGCCCCCAGGAACCCACTTCCAGCCATACACACATCCTCACCTTCAGCCTGACCGCTTCGTCCCTCTTTTTGTTTCTCACATCTTCTGCTTCCGTTCTTGACTTTCAGATGGCAAGCTGCCTCTGAGTTCACCAACGGAACAGAGGCTGCAGGAACCCGCTGTCCTGGCTCTCCCCTTCGGAGCTGCCCAGGGCAGCTGAGTGGGGGCACAGTTCCCCAGGACACCCGGCTTGGTGCCTGAGCCCTGCAGCTGCTGCCCAGCACAGACGGCAGAGGGGGCCTGTGCTCACAACCACCCTGCAAACGCTCTGCTCAGGGCTTAAACGCATGTTTGTGGGGTGCCTGGGGGGCTCAGTTGCTTGAACCTCAACTCTGATCCCAGAGGCGTCAGGCTCTGAGCTAAGCATGGGGCCTGCTTGGGACATATTCTCTTTCTCTTTCTCTCTCTCCCCCTCTGCCCCTCCCCTGCTCATATACTCTCTCTCTAAAAACCAAACCAAAACAAATATGTTTATGATAATTACCAGAGTCCAAAAATCGGGATAATGCACATCAAAGTCTGGGTTTCTGGGTTTTTTCCTACAAAAAAACTGGAAGGGCCTGCATCACTGGGCCCCCATTCCTCCTGGGCAGCTCCACCAACTAGCATTTGAGATGATGTCCCTGATGGCTTTAGGGGCGTGCTGCCCATACAGTCACCCTCAGAAACCATTTTGCAACTTGATAATTTATCACCAAAGGACACCACCTTTTCACTCTGCAAGGGACTCTGCAAATTACAAATCCCAGAACCAGCGCCATGTGCAGTAACCCACGTGCTGCTCCCTGGGGCCCAGGCTGTGCCTTACTCACCTCTGAGTGCCCCTGAAAACAGGGCCCAGAGAAGCTCAAGCACATGCAGGGAAAATACCGAAAAGCAAGGCTGGTGCACAAACAGAATAAAACCATAACCCCACACACCTCTAGGTGGCAGAGTGCTTGGACACATTTCATGGAGTCCTCCCAAGTCCCCGGGTAATAGGAGGAGAAGGTGTCACCATCCCTTCCTGAGGAAGGGGAACAAGCCCAGAGAAGTGGCCTCATTTGTGCCATGTCACACAGCAAACCCAGGTCTTCTAGTGCCTGGGAGAGCCGCCTTTCCATTAAGGCGTGCAATGCAGCGGCGGGTGTGGAGGGCTCCCGGAAGACCCGGCCACAGGGGGCTTCCTGCAGGGTGGGGGTGGAGAGGCGGGTTCCGGAGGGGGGGGGGGCTGACCCCGCGCCCCCCACAGGAACAGGCTGCAATGCCTGCTACATGGAGGAGATGCACAACGTGGAGCTGGTGGAAGGGGACGAGGGCCGCATGTGCGTCAACACCGAGTGGGGCGCCTTCGGGGACTCCGGAGAGCTGGACGAGTTCCTGCTGGAGTACGACCGCGTGGTGGACGAGAACTCCCTGAACCCCGGGCAGCAGCTGTAAGGACTACCCCTCCCCCTCGTCCTGCCCCTGCAGGCAGATGACGGGCTTGTTTTTAAACAACTCGGGGGCGGTGGGGGGAATCAAACCGACCATCCCTTCGCCAGCTGGCTCCTCTCTCCTTCGGCTCACACGCACCCTGTGAACCCGGAACAGTAGAGATGTGAAGGGTTAGTCCGCCGAAAGAGCGGCTGTGAGCGGATGAGCCGGGCTCTCCCCCGGCCGGCAGGTGACCACAGGCATAGGGCGGCTCTGAGACCCCCAAGCAACGGGTTCAGCCCAGAGTAGACCTCTGTTCACGTTCACAGGATGTACAGTAGGGTTTCGCAGAAGGCTGCGGTGTAGCCTGGACAGCTCTAAACCGGCCGCACAGAGCCTGAGTCGTTGCTCTCCTAATTCTTGAACTTCGTCTCTGGCCCTCATGACCTCCGCTCTGTCAGTCGTACCCAGTGTACTTACCGATGAAAATACGCGGGCTCACAAATGTGGAGCACGTACGCGCCAGCTCTGTGCACACCAGGGCGCAGGGCCCAGGGCCGCGAGCGGTGGCCGAGGCCCCAGGCGGGTCACCAGTCCCTCCGCGCCCGAGTTTCTGTAACCGCACCGGTACTGGGCGGTGAGCGCAGCACCCATCACACGGCGGTGGGGGTGGGACGATGCCTGGGCCTCAGAGGGGCTGGACCGAGGGGCAGGGTGCAGAGGCCCCAAACCCAGGTTGATAAATGAGGGAACAGGTAGGAACCCGGGCTTGCAAGCAGTGTCAAGTGCCCCACCTGGCCCTCCTCGTGGCTGCGCGTGGGGACCTCCCTGGGGCAGCTAAACACCCGCACCCTCTCCCCCACCCCCCCGCCCCCGGCTGCGGGAGATGACCCGGCCGCCCTCCGTGCAGATACGAGAAGCTCATCGGCGGCAAGTACATGGGCGAGCTGGTGCGGCTCGTGCTGCTGAAGCTCGTGGACGAGAACCTGCTCTTCCGCGGGGAGGCCTCGGAGCAGCTGCGCACGCGCGGCGCCTTCGAGACGCGCTTCGTGTCGCAGGTGGAGAGGTGCGCGGGGCGCGAAGGGCTCGGGGCGGCATCCAGGGAGCGGGGCGCAGGGGGCTCGGGGCTCCAGGGGGCGGGGCTCAGGGGGCTCGGGGCAGGATTCCAGGGGCGGGGCGCAAGGAGCGCAGGGGGCTCGGGGCGGGGCGCAGGGGGCGAGGTCTAGGGGCGGGAGCGCAGTGGAGCCCACTCCTGGGCAGCTGATGCGACCCACGCGCCCCCTCTGTGGCTCTGCACCGCCGTGGACGTCGTCTCACTTGATCCACGCAACAGCCTCGAGGCGCGCCTGTGTAGCCAAGGTTAGAGCGGAGACCCTGGGCTTAGAGAGAGGCGCAGTGACCAGCTTACTGCTGGTCCCTGATGGAATCGGACCCGCCCCTCTCCGGAGCCCGAGCCCCAAGCGCTTTACCTGGGTGAGGTGGGCAGGGAGGGGTAGAGGCCGCCGCCGCCCCGCCGGGGTCGGGGTCGGGCCGGCCCGGGGCGGAGCGACCCTCCTGCGACGCCCTCCCCTCCGGCCGCCCCTGCCCCGCAGCGACTCGGGCGACCGCAAGCAGATCTACAACATCCTGAGCACTCTGGGGCTGAGGCCCTCAGCCACCGACTGCGACATCGTGCGCCGCGCCTGCGAGAGCGTGTCCACACGCGCCGCGCACATGTGCGCCGCGGGGCTGGCGGGCGTCATCAACCGCATGCGCGAGAGCCGCAGCGAGGACGTGATGCGCATCACCGTGGGCGTGGACGGCTCTGTGTACAAACTGCACCCCAGGTGAGCGCGCGCACGTCTGCCCTTCCCGTCGGGCCCCCGCGGCCCTCCTGGGTGCGCGTCCTGAGGGCGCGACGCAAGCGGAAACGAGCTATCCCGGGACCCAAGGGTTATCTCCTCGTCTGCCAGACGAGGAGGAGGGAGGGTCCCCTAGGCTTACCCCCTCCGCGTGCTGCGTGCACCCTGAAGCTGAGCTGCTATGAAGAGGCGGGGTGGGGGGGGGGGCGGCGTTTCGGGAGGGCAAAGACAGGGAGCGCCAGCCCTGCTTCCCCTGCTCAGCTTCAAGGAGAGGTTCCACGCCATCGTGCGCAGGCTGACGCCCAGCTGCGAGATCACCTTCATCGAGTCGGAAGAAGGCAGCGGCCGAGGCGCCGCCCTGGTGTCCGCGGTGGCCTGTAAGAAGGCCTGCATGCTGGGCCAGTGACGACAGAGGCCACGAGGCAAGGAGGAGGCAGGGCTCGCTGGACCTGGGCTCCCGGGGACTCGCTCCCCACAGGAGCCCCCAGCCTGGCCCAGTGAGGAGGTCTCTTCGTTGTAAGGACCTGGACGCCTCGCCTTCCATCCCCGTGGTGACCCTGGAAGATGCGGAAAGGCCCGCGGGGAGGAGGGGACGGGGAATTGCAGCGCCCAGGGCAGGCCTCTTGCCTCAGAGGCAGTTGGTGGGACAGCCCAAACCCCTGACTGGGTTGGGAGCTGAGATGAGCAGGAATAAAGACCACCCCCCCCCCCAAACCCCCCACCTATCCTGCTGGAATCAAGGACCCACACAGAGGGGAGCTGCTCACTCAGGACTTTGCTGCATTTCTGTACTGCCTGCCTCTTGGCGCCTTTGGCCATGTCAGCCTCCCGTGGGCCCTGCTCTGGACCCTGCGGTGGCATGGGGACTCAGCCCACTGGGAATGCAGCCCTGCTGACCTGGATGGACCTAGACCCGGGTTCCACAGGGGTCCCAGGCTGCCAGCCACCCGGGCCTGGCTGTTTTCCTGTCTGGTGGGGGTTGGGAAGTGGGAGAGGATGGGCTCCAGGACCGGTTCCACAGTGGAGGCAGCTTGTCCCTGAGGCCTGTAGATGGTGGCTTTTGTGCTGTCCTACTGCCATCCACCAGTGGTTTGTGGTTTTGGGATGCACCCTCACATGGGGTGCAAGACACAGAGCCCCTACAGCCCCTGCCCAGAGGGACCCAGGAGGAAGAGGAGCCCCCCACACTCCCTCCCACCGGCACGCCTGGGAGCACCTCTGTGATGGAGTCTTCAGCTCCCATGGGGCTGGCCTGGAGAGAAACCTCGGGCAGCACTCAGCACCCAGGGACCCCAGGCCTCCCTCTTTCCACCAGACCTCCATGTGCCACACCAACCTCTCATGCCCAACCTGGGACTGTGTGGTTTTTTAAATAAAAGTTGTAAAAATTTAGACATGGCCTTGACCAGTATTTTCTGATGTCTGTGCATACTGGCTGTGGGACAGTAGGGAGACCTGATCACATGCACACAGACACTTGCAAGCCTAGGTATGTCTTGGAATTCACACCCCCCCCACCACCGGCCTTGATGGGGAGTGTGCAGTGACACACAGACCTAAGGGTTAGAAATGAGGTGGCATTGGCGGGTGGTGGGGGTAGGTGCTGCATTGCCCCGGCTGGCTGCCTGTGGGGACATGGGTGTGGACCCACTGTATCTGCTCACTCAGCAGCTCTTCGGTGTCTGAGAGCCCCAGGGAGGGGCTGCGAGGAGTTAGGGGCCAGGGCACTGCTCTGGGAAGTGGGCCGGGCTGCTCCTGCTTCCGGTCGGTCTCTGCAGGGGTCCCCTTGGATCCACTTGGGTTGTGACAGGGATGGGGTGAGGGGGGAAGGGGTTGCTGAGGTGCCTGCAGTGCTCCTGGGTGAGGCCTGTTTTGAGTTAGCTGAGCCCAGGGCCTGACACTGCCGACTCTCACCTTAGCCTGGTTACCTACAAATGCACTTACAGGATTAGAACATATGCTCGCTTTTCAGTGACAGGAGCTACCAGCAAATCTGGAAAGACTATTATTTCACTCTGAACTCAGCCTGCCGCTGTGGTTGGGAGCTGTCACATCCCCGTCCAGATGTTCTCTTGTGTTCCCAGATGTCTCGTGTGGGACTGGTCAGAGCCTTTGAGTTCTCTTATTTTTTTAAGCTTTTTTAAAAGTTTATTTATTGTGTGAGAGAGAGAGAGCACTTGCACACCCACGTGAGTGGGGGGGAGAGAGAGAGAGAGAGAGGGAGAAAGAGAATCCCAAGCAGGCTCCACACTGTCAGCACAGAGCCTGAAGCGGGGCTGGATCTGAGGAAATGTGGGATCATGACCTGAGCCAAAGTCAAGAGTTGGATGCATAACCGACTGAGCCCCCCAGACGCCCCAGGCCCTTTCAGTTCTCTTGAATTGGAGTCACGCACGAGAATTTGCAGGAGCGTCACCCAGTCACTTTGTCATCACTACCACTTGCTCCTCTCCCCGCAGTCGCATGTTGGACCCGTGTCGGTGTAAACTACCTCCTAATTGTTCTTCACAGTGCAGTTCAGGGCATCCTGTTGATTTTTTAAGTTTTCTTTGCAGGTAGGTTATATATTTTATGAATTTCATTATAGTCAGGGAGGAATTATAAAATAGTTACTGTTACACGAAAGGGGCGTTGGGTCTGGCGGACTGACGCGGATCCTTGCCACAGCAGCTGCTCTCTTTGCATCCCTCGCCCCAGGGGCAGAGCCAGGTTCTGGGGTAGAGGCGGCGGGCAGCCAGTGCGCCCCCAACTTGTGTTCTAGACAGGCCCCAGACCCCAGCCCCTCTCTACCCTGGGCCCAGAAGCAGCCGGTGAGGCTGCGACTCTGGCAGAGAAGAGGGTGACGGGCCTCCGGCTCCACAGTGGAGCCTCACATGAAGGGCTCGTGACCGCTGTCATGGGGGGCCAAGGGGGTACTTGGGGTCCGGGTAGGGCACCATGCTCCAAGAGCATCACATGCAGGTGCTGTTTGGGGCCACAGCCAGCTCAGGGCTGCCTTCTGCCCCTTTGTCAGCGAGCCAGAGGCCAGGACCAGCCATCCTCACCCAGACCTCTGGGAGTCCCTGGGCTCAGGCCAGAGACCATCCTCAGAGCCACACACTGTTCTTCCCAAGCCAATAGAGGCCCCAGGCCAGCGCTCCTGTCCTCCTGGCCTGGGCAGGTTCTGGGCTGGACCTGCAGTAGGGTAACAGGGGAGACTTCTCCTTCAGCGGGGACACCTCATTCAGCATCCAGAGTGGTGACAGCCAGGAGCCTGTGAGCTCTGCCCTTGGGACACGTTGCTGCTGATGGGTACATGCCCGGATGTTACACATCAGGGGGCCTGAAGGTCACCAGGAACGTGGCTGGAATCTGCCTGGGGCTCTGTCCTCCCCCAGCCCAGGCAGGGCTACCAAATTTGGGCCTGTCCTCTCCTCCTGTCCTTATTTGGTGCTCCAGGTGATAAGGCTGAGGCATAAAAGGGGCTGTGGGCCCCTTGCAGCAACCAGGCGGCCACAGAGAGAGGATGGTGAGTGTCAGGTAGGGTCGCCAGAGGCCAGCAGACTACCAGGTGCTGTCCTTGGGCTGCAGGAGGGGTTTGGGGGTGGTGGTGTCATGGAGCCCACATTGGGCCTGGAGAGGTGGTGTCTGGGGACAGGAAGAGGGCCCTGGCCTGGGCTCTCCTGGGAGCTCTGGGGGTGCACCTGGAAATGGGGGCCTCTCCCCACACACGTGTTGCAGGCCAGCAGGAAGGCGGGGACCCGGGGCAAGGCCGCAGCTGCCAAGCAGGCCCAGCGAGGCTCTTCCAACGTCTTTTCCATGTTCGAGCAAGCCCAGATCCAGGAATTCAAGGAGGTAAGTGGTGTACCCCCAGTGGCCTGGAACCTGTCCTGGCCCCTGTCCTTACTATGCCCGCCATCCAGGACCCTCCCGCCTCCGGCCCTCCCTGGGTGGGGGCTGTTCCCGCCTAGACACTCTGCCCCCCACCTCGCAGGCCTTCAGCTGCATTGACCAGAACCGTGATGGCATTATCTGCAAGTCAGACCTTCGGGAGACCTACTCCCAGCTCGGTGAGCACCTCCCCCTTCTCCCCACCCTGGGCCTGCTCTCACCAGGGCTGCTGGGTCAGCGGGATTCCACCGCCCACTGAGAAAGGACAGGCCCCTCACTCTCCACTGCTCTTGCCTCTCCTCCCCTCTGTCTCCTCCCCTGCCCCATCCCCACTGGGCCCAGCTTCCTTCCAGGGCACCTCCCTCCCCGGCCCTCTCCACCCCTGTGGCTATCACCCCCCCCCAGGGAAGATGAGCGTCCCGGAAGAGGAACTGGATGCCATGCTGCAGGAAGGGAAGGGTCCCATCAACTTCACGGTCTTCCTCACGCTCTTCGGGGAGAAGCTCAATGGTGAGCCAGGCCTGGAGTCTGCCTGAACACTGCCCAGACCTCAGCTGGACCACCCCGCCGCCGGCCCTTGCACACCCAGAGGATATGGAGTCCTCCTCTGCACCCCAGACCCATGGGCACTGCTCACCCCAGCTCCCGACTTGGAATTGGGAAATGTGCCTTCAGCCTCCACTCCCAAGTCCCAGATCCTAGTCTCCCGGCCAGGCCTGCCCTCAAGGCCCGCCCAGCATCCCTGAGCCCCAAGGGATGCTGTGTATCAGGGAGGATGCTCCTACCTCTTCTGGGACATGACGCCCCCCCCCCCCGGGTTCCTCCTTGGTGGGGCCAGGGAGGCTGGGGGTGTGGGTGCTCACCTATTCCCTCCGGCTCCCAGGGACAGACCCCGAGGAAGCCATCCTGAACGCCTTCCGCATGTTTGACCCCAGTGGCAAGGGCGTGGTGAACAAGGATGAGTAAGTATGAGCAATGGGATGACAGGGGGTGAGGCCCAGGTGAGGGTGACCCCCCGCCTGTACTGTGGGGCTCTCTCTGCCTTGGGGGTGGCCACCTGGGCCATAGGAGCCTCGTCCCCCTCATCAGGCCACCCGTCGGCTCTCCCCCACCAGGTTCAAACAGCTTCTCCTGACCCAGGCAGACAAGTTCTCTCCAGCTGAGGTGAGGATTCCTGGTTCCTCGGACACCCCTCCCTTGCCAACCCCTTCACAGGGTCCTCGCCCCGCAGGGCATGGGGGAGGCCTTGCGGACCCCCCACCCTCTTGGGCCTAGAGCAGGGCTCCGTGCAGGAGGGACTGTCTCTACCAAGGGTGACAGGCATGGAGTTAGATGGGAGTGTCCTGGGCCGGAGAAGCTGTGCGTGCAAAGGCCCGGGCACGAGAGAGCGGCACTGGCATCTGGAAGAGCCTCTGTCCGTGCAGTGTCAAGCAGCACGGGGAAGGGAGGGGAGGCATCCCCATGGCCCCCTCGGGCCCCCACCCTCCACCCCTGTGTCCCTAGTCTGCCCATGGTCAGGTAACAGAAAACATTAACTCAGAGTTTGGGGCTCCCAGCCGAAGAGACGTAGGGTCAAAGTACAGCCCTGGGAGTGGGGAGGGGGGTGAAGGGTCGGCCCCCACCAGGCTTTGCTGGATGGACTGCCTCTCACCAGTCCCCGCCGCCCCAGGTGGAGCAGATGTTCGCCCTGACGCCCATGGACCTGGCAGGGGACGTCGACTACAAGTCTCTGTGCTACATCATCACCCATGGGGATGAGAAAGAGGAGTGAGCGGAGCAGCCCCCAGGGTCACCACAATAAATGCTGTTTTCAATCAGACCTGCTGTGGTGGCCTCTCTGTGACAGATGGGGTGGGGGCAGGCAGGAGGGGTCTGTGAGATGAGGCAGGCACTTTGCCAGCTCACCTCCAGGTGCCCCATGCAGTTCTGTGACTATGAGCCATCATCTGCCCGGTTCACAGATGGGGACACATAGGCCACACCTCTAGGAGAGGAACCTGTGGGCTTGGCACAGCCTCCCAGTCCCGAACCAGCCACACGGTGGGCCCTGCACTCAGCATCCTGAGGCCGCTCAGCCATGTTCTGGGAGGGTCCCGCTGGTGGGGCAGACCCTGTCTCTGTGTGCTGGCTCAGGTGGGCCTCCCTGTGTATGCGTGTGCTCTGTGTGTGCTGCGTGTATGCTGGGTGTGTGTGTGCATGTGCGTGCATGCATGTGCTCTGGGTATGTGTGTGCACATGTGTGCGTGAGTGTACTGGATGTGTGTGTGTGTGTGTGTGTGTGTGTGTGTGCATGTGTACTGGGTGTGCTGGGCTCTGTGTGGAAGGCACTGAGAACCCATCTGGAAATAGACTTACTTCACTTTGGAAATGCAGAAGTTCCATAACAGGAAGCAGGGGCCAGAACGGGCTTCATGTCTCCTGGCAGGGCAGGGCGGGGGGAGGGGATGGGCGGGGAAGGGTCAGGCGGCTGGAGAGAGGGAGAGTTTTTCTCTGGAAGGGATTGTTAGTGTCTGGTCCCCACCTCATGTGCAGAAAACGGGCTGGGGGCACGGGGGTCATGTCTCCATCTGGGAACTGGAGGGCAGCAGGGGGACAGGAAGGGCCAAGCAAGGGCTTGCACTGAACCGCCCCCTCCAGCAAGCCTGGCTGCAGCCCTCAGCTGGGGTGCTGGAAGAGGGAGGAGCTGATCACACTCCCTCCCTGCAGGCAGCAAGCAGGAGGAAAGAGCCATTTTCCCCTGGAGAAGTGTTCAGTTTTTATTTTTATTTGGGACTTGCACTTGCAATTACGACATTGAGACCTGAGATTTAAAGTCCGCAGAGCACTTTCTATGGCTGATTAGTGATGGCAGGAGTCGTGGAACTGCCGTCTTCATGAGGAGAGCAGGCCTGCAGGGATGGCGGGAGACACAGCCCAGCAGGTGTTATAATTCTCGCATGAGTCCTGCTTGTTCAGCAGACTGATTTCAAAAGATAAGGGGTAATTTCAGAAGTCAAGCTTCTGCAGAGAAAAGTTGTAAAAGACGCAAGGGACCAAAAACATCAGTGCCTTCAAAAAGGTGCTGGTCAGCAGGGCCCCTGTGACCTTGTTGTCTTCTGTAAGGTGTAGATGACCTACAGCAAGGCCAAGGGTTCCCATCCCTAGACACAGAGAAACACGTGACCCAGGGGAAGAACAAAGGACTCCCCTCCTCCTCTGCGGAAGAAGCCATCCTTGCACCTATTAAAACAGCAAGTTCTGGGAGCGCCTGGGTGGGTCAGTTGGTTAAGCATCTGACCCTTGATAGCGGTTCAGGTCCTGATCTCATGGTTTCATGGTTTTGAGCCCCAGGTCAGGCTCTGTGCTGTCTGTGTGGAGCCTGCTTGGGATTCTCCTCTCTCTGTCCCACCCTCCCCTCCTAAAATACATAGATAAACATTTTTTTCCAAAAATTTAATAAAAAATAAAATAAAATAAAATAGCAAGTTCCTGCCAGCATCTGTGAACTGCACCCTCAACCCTGGACAACACGGGTTCGAACTGTGTAGGTCCACCTACACGTGGAGTTTCCCTGACAAATACAGGACCGCCCCACATACCCACTTGTTTATGATTTTCTGAACATTTTACGTTCTCAGGCTTACTTGACTGCAAGAACACAGCATATAATACATGCGACACACAAAAGACGTGTTACATGACTATTCACGTTATCAGCCAGGCTTCCAGTCAACAGTAGGCTGTCAGTGGTTAAGTTTTGGGGGGGGGTCACAAGTCATACACAGATTTCTGGCTGCGGGGCACACCCTCAGCCCTGCGCTGTTCAAGGGTCAGGTGTACGAGCATCCGCTCCTTGGCTCTTCCTCTGAACCGGCTGTCACGTGCTGGTGGCTTCCTCGTGGAAGAACGGGCACAGAAAACCTTTGACCAAGGCTTGTTTTATCTCTGTGTGTGAGCCGCGGTTCTGCTCCCACTCCCGGTGTCATTGTCCAGTAAGGCTCGTCCTTTCTGCACCAAAACGGCCTGCACGAACTAGCTTGGGGTAACCTGACAGCAGAGTGTGTGTGTGTGAGATGCAGAAGGCACAGAAGCGGAGACAGAGAACAGACTTGGCGCACGAAAGACACGGTACTGCCCGAAATGGTAGCCCCGGCCACCTGTGCCTGTTGGGCACTTAAAACACGGTGTGACTTGAGATGTGATCATGTTCTGAAGAGTGAGTACAAGAAAGAACATAAAATATCTCATTAATGATTTGCACATAGATTACGTATTGAAATGATAACATTTTTGATATATTGGGTTGGAGACAAATGTTACTAAAATCAATCTCACCTTTTGCTTTTTACTTCCTTAATGTGGCTACAAGGAGATTTTATAAAATTTTTAAATGTTTTATTTGTTTGTTTATTTTTGAGAGAGGCAGAGCACAAGTGGGGGAGGGGCAGAGAGAGAGAAAGACAGAACCTGAAGCAGGCTCCAGGCTCTGAGCTGTCAGCGCAGAGCCCGACGCGGGGCTCAAACCCACAAACTGTGAGATCGTGACCTGAGCTGAAGTCGGACGCTTAACCGACTGAGCCACCCAGACGCCCCAACGAGGAGATTTTAAATGACGTGTATGGCACCATCTTTGGCTAACATCCCCTTTCCACTGGACACTGCTGAGCCAGCTGTGTGATGTGCCTGTGGTCTCTCAGGAGCTGGGGTTCTGACCCAGCACACAGGGGTCACGCCAGAGCTCTCTGTGAACCGAGCCCAAACGAAGCCCATTTCATTTGGGCAGAGCTGAATCTGCGTGTTGTGGCAGAAAGGAGAGAGGGTTTTGTTTGCAGAGAGCAGAGCCCACACTAAGGTGTTCCGAGTCTGGTGGAGCAAAGCAGGTGCATCGGGGGTGGGCCGGGCCTGTGAGTCCTGCCTGCCTCTGCCAGGCAGTCCATCTCGCCGGACACGGACATGGGACATGCACACCCCAGGGACTCAGGGTCGGCAGCCACCTGCCCCAGTTCTTTCCTAACCCACCCTCCCGGAGCAGGGCCCCATCTGCAGATGTCCTGGACTCCCTGGTCCTGGCGGTCCCCTCCCCACACCTCACCCACAGCCCACTCAGCTGGAGCCCATGAAGGAGGCTTCCAGCCTCTTGTCCTCACGGGGACTGTGTCCACTCTGGGGGAACTTCCTTCAGCTCCGGCCCCTTCCTCCTCCTTCTCCAGGGGTTCACAGAGAAATACTGCCCTGTCTCCCCCAACACCCTGCAGACCCTAGATGCGAAGCCTGGCATCCCCGCAGCAGCCCAGGCCTCACGGGAGGGGGGTGGTGGTTGGAAACGCAGAATCTCAAGAGACCCCGGCAAACACTTGTTCAGGAGGGCCCTGGAGCCAGTGTGGCCTGCTGGGCCGGAGTAGTGGCAGGCAGGGACCCTGTGAAGGCAAGAAAACTTGAACCTTCTTCCTCGAGCTCTTTTTGCGTCCATCTATTTGAAAGCTAAGAAGCCTCTTGCCAGTTTCACAACACGGGAAGCCCCCTCTCCAGTTTCCCAGGAGGGCAGGAGCATCAGTGCCGGGGACTGCAGCAAGCCCACTTCGGAAGGAAGACGGGAGTGTGGTTGAAGGTGATCGGCAAAGCCAGGTCCCTGAGCTCAGCCGCTTCTGTGGAGAACGGGGAAGACCTGCCTGTGGGATCTCTTAGGGGACTGCTGTGATGAGCTCTGGGTGAGTGCCGAGTCAGTAAGAGACCGGGTCCTTCTTTCGGGACTCCTGTGGCTGGTTCCCTGCCTTCCCAGGGGACCTGCATCTCCATCCATGTCCACCCGGCGCAGCTCCGTCTGTGTGGGCCTGGCCTGTTTGCTTCCCGTTTTATCCTGAGGTCCCTCCAGCGCCACCCCCCCAGCCTGGGCCCCGTCCCCTGCCCCACGTCCTCCCACCCGGGGCCGCTCTGGCTGGCTGGCAGTGGCTCACAAGTTCTTTCCACCACCATAAAGACGGGGTGTGCAGCTGCTTCGGGGGCGTGGGCGGTGCTTAGGTTTCTGGGCGGTCGCCCCAGCCCCCCTCACCTCCTCAAGCCTCAACCCTCTCCATTCTCCAGTTTGGGCGGGAGGGTCTGGGGGGTGTTGCAGAGCTGGTGCTTTGCTCTGAAAGCAGGCGTGTCTAGTAAGGTGGGGAGACGAGTAAATAATAGGTCTAAGTACACTGGCCTCTTCTCTGCCGTGAGCCTTCTAGACTCTTGAGGCCTGAAAGGCTGCGGTGTGGAGGCACAGGGGCCCTGCACTGGAGAAGGCCCCCCGGGAGTCAGCCTGCAGCCTCCCTCCCTGTGCATGTGAGCAACCTCGAACCAGCCCCACTCCTCCTCAGCGGTGCGCTTTCCTCATCTGTGCGGGAGAGGCTGCCGGTGTGTGCCACGTGCCTCGGTGAGCTTCTGGCCCCAGAGCAAAGAGCACACTTCTCAGGCTCACCACTTGCTGGGAGGTGTGACCCAGCAGGTGTCAGACCTGTATCGTGGAGCAGTTTTGTCCTCAAGAGACAGATGTGTGCCCTCCTCCACCTCCGTCCCTGGAACACAGCTGGACATGGCCCCCGGGACTGTAGGGCTCCTGCACTGGACTCAGCCGGGTCCCCAATGCCTGGAGGCACCACACAACCCAGATCCCCCCTTCATATCCAACACAAAGAGGAGTGAGCTCTGGTGTGACTACAGCCCTGATATTTGGACTTTCTTACCCTTACAGCAGAACCTGGTCCCGACCAGTACTGTCTGACCGCTATCCCCACTCCCAGATAAACTGAGGCAGCACATGGCTGAGCCACCCATCCAAGACCACACAGAGCCAGGAGGCGGCTGAGCCAG